ACAAACCAGCATGTAAAACAACTTGTCTCACCACTAAGGACAATGACAGAGGTTTGGATACACGTCTTCTACCAAGTCATTATCCTTAGTGGTGAGACAAGTTGTTTTACATGCTGGTTTGTGAGTGTGCCATGATGCCTTTCTACTGTTTTACTGTTCAAAGCCCATTTCGTGTGCACCTTACTGTATAACTGGTGACAAATTGTTGCGTGCGTTTGTCGTTTGTTTTGCTGGGTCTTATAGTCAGCCTGATATTGGATCGGCCCCCCTGCTTGCTGTATGTACATTGGGCTGCCGCCAGCGGAGTCTTGTCCCCGGCAGCCGTCCATCCCGGCCTGAGCTGTCCCAACGCCGGGCGCTCGCAATATAAAAATTAAAGGAAAAAAGTCATTTTAGATTTCGGCTGAACAATATCTCCTGGTGGGAGGTGCGTGGCAGTGCAGCTCATTTCAACGGTGCCCCAAACGTGGCCCCCTGTGTGACAGCACCCTAGAGGTGATAGGTTCTCTTTATGGTCTATTAGACCCCCAGTGTCACCTTTCCACCTTCACTGGGAATGGCAGCTGAATGTAAACGCAGCATACAGCGGCCGGGAGCAATGGCCAGCCTGCTATTGGCTATTAAAATTCAAAATCACCAATAGCAGGCTGGATGAGACTTGACACCGGCCTTCTACCGTCGGCAGCACCGGGGCAATGCAGAGGCACATCGGCCCCTACTCCACACAGGGCATCGGCTGCAGCGCTCTTCTCCACTTATTGATTATCAATTTAATTGATTAGTTGTTGTAGTCCTGCTGTACCTATCCCTCCCATTATATACTGGCTACCGTATATACCAGAGTATACGCCCCTTACATGTGTGTACCATATATCCCGGAGTATACGTCCCTTCTGTATGGGTACCGTATAACCTGGAGTATAGGTCCCTTCTGTATGGGTACCATATAACCCGGAGTATAGGCCTCTTCTGTATGTGGGTGCCGTATAGGCTCCTTCTGTATGGGTACCGTATAACCCGGAGTATAGGCCCCTTCTGTATGCGGGTGCCGTATAACCCGGAGTATAGGCCCCTTCTGTATGCGTGTGCCGTATGACCCGGAGTATAGGCTCCTTCTGTATGGGTGCCGTATGACCCGGAGTATAGGCCCCTTCTGTATGCGGGTGCCGTATGACCCGGAGTATAGGCCCCTTCTGTATGCGGGTACCTTATAACCCAGAGTATAGGCTCCTTCTGTATGAGTATTGTATATCCCGGAGTATAGGCCCCTTCTGTATGCGGGTGCCGTATAACCCGGAGTATAGGCCCCTTCCGTATGCGGGTGCCGTATAACCCAGAGTATAGGCTCCTTCTGTATGGGTACCGTATAACCCCTGAGTATAGGCTCCTTCTGTATGAGTATTGTATATCCCGGAGTATAGGCCCCTTCTGTATGCGGGTGCTGTATAACCCGGAGTATAGGCCCCTTCTGTATGCGGGTGCCGTATGACCCGGAGTATAGGCCCCTTCTGTATGCGGGTGCCGTATAACCCAGAGTATAGGCTCCTTCTGTATGGGTACCGTATAACCCAGAGTATAGGCTCCTTCTGTATGGGTACCGTATAACCCCTGAGTATAGGCCCCTTCTGTATGCGGGTGCCGTATGACCCGGAGTATAGGCCCCTTCTGTATGCGGGTGCCGTATGCCCCGGAGTATAGGCCCCTTCTGACCCCTTCCGTATCGGGTGCCGTTATAACCCAGAGTATAGGCTCCTTCTGTATGGGTACCGTATAACCCCTGAGTATAGGCTCCTTCTGTATGAGTATTGTATATCCCGGAGTATAGGCCCCTTCCGTATGCGGGTGCCGTATAACCCAGAGTATAGGCTCCTTCTGTATGCGGGTGCCGTATAACCCAGAGTATAGGCTCCTTCTGTATGCGGGTGCCGTATAACCCAGAGTATAGGCTCCTTCTGTATGCGGGTGCCGTATAACCCAGAGTATAGGCTCCTTCTGTATGCGGGTGCCGTATAACCCAGAGTATAGGCTCCTTCTGTATGCGGGTGCCGTATAACCCAGAGTATAGGCTCCTTCTGTATGCGGGTGCCGTATAACCCAGAGTATAGGCTCCTTCTGTATGCGGGTGCCGTATAACCCAGAGTATAGGCTCCTTCTGTATGCGGGTGCCGTATAACCCAGAGTATAGGCTCCTTCTGTATGCGGGTGCCGTATAACCCAGAGTATAGGCTCCTTCTGTATGCGGGTGCCGTATGACCCGGAGTATAGGCCCCTTCTGTATGCGGGTACCTTATAACCCAGAGTATAGGCTCCTTCTGTATGAGTACCGTATATCCCGGAGTATAGGCCCCTTCTGTATGTGGGTGCCGTATAACCCGGAGTATAGGCCCCTTCTGTATGTGGGTGCCGTATAACCCAGAGTATAGGCCCCTTCTGTATGCGTGCCGCATATCCCCGAGAGTATACGC